ATTTACTTGAAGATTTAGGTTTGATGTACCTGATATATGTATTGGTTTTGTGTAGGGTAACAGCCCTACTATATGTTGTATCTCTGCTGAATTTTTAGGGTGAGGTGGCTCTAAGGAACTGATCACATAAACTGAAACTGTTATTACAATTTTAGCATACATTATAGTTCATGTGTGTGTAATATATCAATGGTTCTGAATTTTGTTTGCAATTTCTCTTTAGTTCTTCGGAAACATGGTAAACTTATCCTGTTTTTGAGGTCATTTATCTTGGCACGTCCTGCTAAAAGAAGACTGAAACAAAGTGGGATATTACGTGAGAGAGTTTATGGTTGTGACTTAGGAGAACATTTACTCAACTCTGAACATGATGGTAAGTGACTGATGAGATAGCGCCACCTAGTGGCAGACAAGTACAACCTAGTGGCATGGTTAAATATGTAATATAAGGAGGTCTTATATTCTGAAATCTCTCACAATGGGTTTAATTTATGATAGTTTTGTATGGTCTGCAACTGTAACACAACCTGGAAATAAATGTGACCTACCATACTCCTGAGAATTTCTGATGCCCTGTTGACTCACTAAACATGTCTAAATATATGTTGTGAATTTTTTGAGAAATATGGCATATGAGACAGTATTTATAGTTCATCTGCCTTGAATGATTTGCATATTTGTTTATTCAGTCCCCCAGGTACTGAAGATATGTTGTGAATTTATTGAGAAATATGGTATAGGAGATGGTATTTATAGGTTATCGGGCGTGGCCTCTAATATACAGAAGTTACGAGCACTGTTCGACAGTGAAAATGTACCTGACATGGAAGAGTATATATATGATATACATAGCGTTAGTTCTGTGGTGAAATTGTATTTCAGGTAAGTTACAACGCCCTCTAGTGTCTGATATGTACAATAATTTGTCTTGCATGTAACCTTGGTCATAATTGTCACCTCAATTAACACCTTAGAACATGATACAATGTTGTCCTGGAAACATAAAATAAAAGGTATTATGGTCCATATGGCTTGGTAAATAACTACATTACAATAGGAACAGAAGCAGGACAGTGATAGAAATGAGTTTTATGGTTTATAGAAATTTCATTATGGTCTTGAAAAACTCTCAAAAAAAAATACTCTAAACCATTTCAACTTTTGTCACCGCTGACAAAATTAAGCTCAAAAAAATTGTTTTCTAAAATGTTGATCAGTCTCTGTATCGACAACTTAACATGTATATTCAGTCCAAGATTCCTGAAGCAATTCTAGAAAAATACATAAAAATGTGCAAAATTCTGGTGTTGAAAAGGTTTAGGTTATGTATATCTCTAGTATGGAAATGAAACATATTTTCTTCTGTTATGTTATGACCAGTTTCTGATAATCTGTTGTACTTTTTTTTTAAAATAGAGAGCTTCCAAATCCACTACTTACATACCAATTATACGACAAGTTTGCAGCAGCCATTTCAAATGAAGAGACCAGACTACTGGAGATTACTAATGTCATACAACAACTGCCACCCCCACATTACAGAACAGTAGAATACTTAATGAAGCACCTCAATAAAATGGCTTCTTTCAAGGACCAAACAGCAATGCATTCCAAGAATTTAGCAATTGTATGGGCCCCTAATTTACTAAGGTAAGTTCATCTACAGATCATTTGGGGCTTTATAAATGCTTGCTCTGCCTTATGTTTAATTTGAATGCCAAGTCCCTGAATTGTAAAACAGAGCTCTAATTCCGTCAGATGTGACCAACTGCATCACATGTTTCTAATTGTTTTGTAATGTGTTTTTAGTGCTGGTGGAGGCTGATATGTTTCCTTGGTTCCCCAGATTTGTATTTGTATAGTTCTATCTGCAATGAATATTACCACACTGCACCCAATGATAGGAATATCAAAATTCACAAAAGCACAACTCATGCGGATATAGTCATAGCTTTTGTCACATGAATTGCATATCACATAACCTAAATTTATTTATCATTATTTTGAATTCCAGATCTCGACAAATTGAAACTGCCAGCATGTCATACAACAAAAAGTAGGTCAATACTCTTATTCCAGTTCATTTCAAATATGTATATTTGGAAGTTTTGCTTGCATGACCTTATTCTACTTTCTGACTTTTCTAGATCCAAAGAGATAGAGCTTGGTGTTGCAGCTTTCATGGAGATCCGTGTTCAATCAGTGGTTGTGGAATATCTGATTAGGAATGTTGATTTGATATTCAGTGATAAACTACAATCACAGTTAGCAAAAACTGATTCATCTGATGCCCCAGGTAAGATTAAATACCATTCTGAAAAATTTAAACTTTATTTATTTATCTAGCCTATGTGTCAATCTAATGCTGCTCTATCACAGAGCCCTGAGGCTGCTTTTAGCACTGTCTTTGTTCACTTTCAGTATGTTCATCTTTTTGTTTGCTCATTCTAAATTTTTATACCCCAAGTCTACTCTAAAATCTTCACAATATTTAAAACAAGGATCTGAATCTTATTTCCAAACACGCTCTTTATTAAATTAGTTGGTTCATTAACTCAAGTTTCCACATACAGGATCCACCCCATTGAACAGAAGAGCACGTCCCAAGTCACTTGTACTATCCACTCCTGCTAAGCTGCTGTCATTGGAAGAGGCTAGAGCACGTAGTGGGCTGCAATCAGTACAGGATATACCTGTTAATGATAGACAACGATTTATTGAAGTAGGAGGTGGTCCATCAGCATTACCAAAACAATATCATACAGTTATTGATTTTCCATTTGACAGGTAAACTATGCTGGATCTATATTAGATTTGAATATTTCATGACAATATCTTCAATTCTGTAATTTTCATGATTTTTATCCACTCTAGAAATGAAATACATGATCTTCAATTCTCAGTATTTTGTATTCATTGTGTTGTATTGTTTGCTTTGATCATGTGACTTTAAATTTTGCTGAGTTAACACATTTTTATTTCATTATTTAGTGTTACGTGTATCTCCTGTCGAAACTCAGCAGCAGGCCTTGAGTGATATCATAATATCAATAATTTGTCAAAATCAAAAAATAAAAAAAAGCAAAAAACATGTTTTCAGATTAACCCCTATTTCATCAAATCATGATTCTTGCAATTGGCTCTACAGGAAAAGATCAGGCTCAACCTCATCTAAAACGAAGAAATCTCCAAGTGGATGGAAATCCTTTTTTGCGAAATCTAAACCTACTGTTGATGGGAAAAGAAAGATGCTTCGTAAGTCAAGCATACCTGTCCCCAAAGAGATTTGTGTTGTTAAAAAAAGAAGCAGTTTACGATCTGTTCGTAGTGCTGAATCATTGATGTCTGGTAGTGATAATTCTGATGGTACAACGATTGTAAATCCTTATGCTGGTAAGTACAGATCAAAATAAGGTTGAATAGATGGATGATGGATTGCTTCGATATGTATTTTTATATGTATGTACTTTGGGTGGACCTCTGTCAGATTTGTCCATTTTGTGACACTAGTTAATTCTCTTTTTAGTAAGATTTTTTTAGTCCCCGTTC